TCTGATTCGGCTCAAAATAAGGGAAAAGTCGTTTGATCCTGCAGACAGCCGCCCATTCTTGGACGGCCGTTGACTAGAGAAGCTTGATGGAATATGAAACCGAGGGCACTGGAGCGGAGCTCCACAAAGAATTGGGAGTTTCTGAGAAAACAGGCAGTTCTTTGCAAAATAATTGTTAAATGATCTAAATGAATCTGTGAAACAGGAAACTTATTAGAGGAAAATACTGCTGTAAATGAATTTCATGGAGAGGAGAGCTGGGGACATGAGGACTGATACAGTTTAGAAACTTCTAATCTGTTGCTTTTACTTCTGAAGTGAAAAGGAAACTTCCACTTGTTACACCATTTTTATGAAACTCGGCCCTTCAAAATCATTAGAAAGAAAGCAAAACTACCTTGTAAAATTTTCTAATTTTTTTTTTTCTAAAATGGCAAAGCTTCAGTGGACCCTTTCCAGTCTTGCACTAATTTTTATTGCAAATATCACGTGTTGTATGGGGGAGGGGGTGTGTGTGTTCGTTCGTTCGTTCTAAGAGAGCTCCTTCAGGGCCAGCCTTTGGCATCTGAAACAGCAGCCACAGACCTCGAAAGAAAATTCTTCCTCAGCAATTCCAGACCCAACTGATGGTTCCGCTCACATACTTTCTCCCTTCCTATGTTGCTAAATTAGTTATTTGTTAGATTTCATTTCATGTATCTGCTCTCACTGATATCATTTCATAGTATTCTCACTTTTATACAAATAAAACATTTTTCGGAGTTTCAGCTTCATGAGGGTAGGGACCATCTCTCTTTTTCTCATCACTTTATTCTCAGTAACCAGAATAGTGTCTGTCACCCAGTAATTATATATTGAGTGAACTTGGGAAGCCCATTTATTCTGACTTAGCATACAGTTTTTATCAAGTACTAGGAAACTCTAAGGATGAAGCTAGAAATATATGTGCCTGCTGAGTGAAAACGATACCATTTGGAGAAAGTACTCCTTTGAGTCATTTATTCCTTGCTACCACCTTTCTCAAGAGTTTTTATGTAATGGGGATAATGTATTTATTGTATGATGTTTGTACAACTTTTAACTGCAAGGGACCTTAAGAGTGTATATACTTATATATATATTAATATAGCTCAGCCTTCAAATTTTAAAGCTGGAAAACTGAGGTTTATTAAATTGTGCAGCTAAGATGCTGGTAGGCGCTGGGAATTTGTTCTGGGACCTTCTGCTGCACTCCTAAAGATACAGCTCTGTTTGTAAGGATAAATGAAAGTAACCGTAAGAATTTATTAAGACAGGAAAATAATTTTCTTTTCAGCAGTTTGTGCCACTCCCAATGTCTTTGCAGCCGAGAATCAAGCGTAATCAGGTGTTGACATTCCAGAGGCTCTGACAGTGCAGAATACAGACTATCTTTTGCAATGGAAGTATTAAAACATCCTTGTGTTTTAAGTGACTTAGTGTATTCTGGGATTAAATCACACCCGTGACACTCACAGGGTGGAGGCTCTGCCCTTGAAGGCTTCGGCCCTTCTCTAGTTGTTTCTTAAACCCCGCAGTCTTCTGTTTCCTGCCGCTAGTTCGCCATTCCTCCCTTCTTGCACTGGTGCACTCAGCGAGTGTTTGCTGAGTACGTACCTGGTAGCAGGCATTGGGGATGTTGCAGGGAGTAAAAGCCGGCCAGGTCCTTGCCCTTATGGAGCTTATAGAAAGAAAAGTGGGAAGGAATGAAAGGCATGTGAACGGATAGGGCTGCCAGGTCATTATTGTCAGTTTTTGGTTTTGGAAGCCCTTGAAGACAATAAAGAGAAAGGAGAACTTCTTTTTGGTAAAATATTTGGAGGTTTTTTTCTTTTCAGAAAATCACCGCTTTCTCTGTATTCTGGACCCCATAGTGGGTACTATTATTATTACTGCAATTTATTTGGCCAAAAGGTTCTTTTAGTTTTTTCCTTACGATGGCTCTAGTACTGCTTAGTTGTCTAACTTCATTTGAAACTATTTTGTTGGATTGCATTGTGACAGCTGTCATATCAGTGTGCATTTAAAAAAAACCCATGTTATCAAAATTGGTGAATTTTTGTACAGCCATTTTAATATTGAAGATAGAAGAATATATGCAACACTGTCGGCAAATTATGCTTTATTATTCCAGGAAAGGTGAAACACACAACTGAAACGTGGAAGGAAGATTTGCGCAGTGTATGGAGAAGGTGCTGTGACTGATCGAATGTGTCAAAAGTGGTTTGCGAAGTTTCTAGGCACTATTGACATTTTGGGCAAATAATTCTTTCCTGTGGGGCTGTCTTACACATTGGAAGATGTTTAGCAGCACCCCTGGCCTCTTACCCACTAGAAGCCAACAGCGGGAGACAGCCGACATACTCAGAAATATCCAAATCAATAAAGTTATTGGTGAAAATGTATCTTTCATTTTATGGAAAAACCTCAATGGACTCTTTGGCCCACCCAATACCTAACATCTGTTGAATGCTTATTCTCTTAGAGGCATTGTGCTAAGAGCTTGGTGTCTACGGCACCTTGTAAGGCAGGTATTATACCATTCCGTTTTACTCTTGAGAAGAGCAGTTCCAGGGACTCTCACTAAAGTATTACTGCTCAGCGAGTAAGAGGTCGAGCCTTGAGTTGGGCCCTGGAGTCCAACTCCAAAGTTAGTGCATCTGTCCCGAGTGTTGCAAGCTGAAGGGCTGCTGTTAGAACGGTGGAGGCTTCTGTGCTCATCTTTTGCTTTTATTTCATTAACTTGCCAAAACTTTATGACATTTCTTAAAGTTCAGCCACTTTTAACTCCATTTATAATGAAAATTTATGCCATATGCAAGTAAACTAAATATTTATTATTAAAATAAACTTTGAAAATGTGATACACCAAATGTGGGGGACATGAGAAAAATCTAGTCGCACAGAATTCATTTTATAATGTAATTTTTATAATAGCCTTCTGTATGTATCTAAAGTGCCTTGTGAGCACAGTACTTGTCATATAGTAGGTGGTCCATAAATGATAGTAATTTTTAGTATTTTAGTTTCTACCTCACTTGTTAGATAGATAATATTTTTTACTTGCTGGTGACATGTTTGTAAAAGTGCTTTAACTGCACAGTTTGGTAATCTGATTCAGTAACCTCAGCAGTTAACCAGCACAATATTCTTATGTGGACCACTTCATTTTTGATGTCACTCTCCTTTTTTATTTCTCCAGCACTTATTTGGGTACAACTACGTTTTGGTAACTGAGGGCTGTGGCCCACAAAGGTTAGTATGCACCAGAATTACCTGGAGGGCTTACTAAAAGATAGCTTTCTGCCCTCCAGCCCCCCCAAGTTTCTGGTCCCAGTAGGTGTAGGGTGGTGTCTGAGAATTATTTTCATTTCTAACAAGCTCGCAGGTGACGCTGCTGCTGCTGGTTTGTGGACCATCCTTTTAGAACTGCCTCTCTAGGAAGTGACATGATTTCTAATTATTGTCATTCTCTTACAATCATACATGTCCAGTGAGAGATGGATAGAATCATGATGTTGCTCCTCTTACTGTGAACTTTATTATAATGTAATATAGAGAAATTTGGTTTGTATAAGTCTAATTGTTCTTATTATTTAAGAAAAAATTTCCTAGCAGTTACTTTTACATTAGAGAATTTCGAAGTGCTGGTTTGAATTTGTTTGCATTATTCATCTTTATTCAAGGACAGAAAAACATACGTTTAAATTTTAGGGGGAATGCATTATAACTTTGGAATGTATTTTTTATAAGGTGATTTTATCTGTCGTAATTGATTTCTGAGAATTATAGGGTATCTGGGTAATGTAGCAATTTAAAAATAGTAACATTTTTTTTTTCCTTTGGCCCTTGCCAAGTATTTTTAAATCTAAAATTTGATAGACTAGTATTGAGTTCAATTTGTTACTCATCATTTCCACTTATAAAGTAGACTTCACTCTGAATTTCACTTATACCAACATAACAATTTTACCTTTTCTTTTCAAAGCATAGCTTAAACCTTTGGGGATATGATGGTATAGAGGGGTTATTCTCTCCAAGAAGAAAAGGCAATCAGAAAATCTTTGTCCATGAAATTAGACTGAAATGTACTCTCATTTATCTGAATACCGTTATGTGCCAGGCTCTATGGTGAAGATTGGTGCCAATGTAATTTATCTTTTTCATGTACAATGAGGGGTTTTAGTGAATTGTAACTTAATATGATCTAATTGTGTGATGAGGTTACTGATAAACCTAATGCAACTGGATGCTTTATTAATAGAATTAGCATTGTGTGCAGGTCTTGGGAGGTACAGTTTTGCTGTTTTATTTTGCTGGACTGTGTCTGCTGTATTACTGTTAGTTTGGAGCTAAGGGACAAATTGGAGTTGTTCCAGAGGTGAGGAGGCCTGCTGTTGAAAGGTCTGGCCAATTTTGCATGTGAGGATTGTTGGCAAATGGGAGTCATTCGGGGGGAGGGAAGACATCTTCACGTTCAGCTCCCTGCTGTCCTATCAGATCCATGAGGACAGGGGCATGTCCGCCTTGTTCAGCCCTGTATCATCCGTGCCTTCTACAGCGCCTGCTGTGTAGTCAATAAACAGTTGGTTTCACTCCATTTTGAGGGGGAAGAGATGGTCCACCTTCAAATATTTGTCATGTTGATGGCTTGTTAATAAAATTTATTACTTACCTCTCCAGAGGGCAGATGGTGGCACCAGCGATGGAATTTTTATGTGGGTAGATTTCAGTTTTATATGTGAAGAACTTTGTAAAACTAGCTTAGCAGTCACATTGATAAACTGCATGTATTTGGATTCTGTTACTTTAAATGCTCAGGACAGGTTGCATGGGGATTTACTAGAAAAAATACCTGCTTTTGATAAACCATAGGTCAAGATGATTTCAGCTGTTTCTATTTTTATGTGAATATTTCATTAAAAAGTAATGTCAACTATAAAATGTTTTCTTTCTTAGTTAGACCTTTCTTGTCTTTTCAGACTAAAGCACGGCAAAGAACTAGACCGCGAGAGGGCCCTTGCCAATGAGCAGTTAACCAGAGCTATTCTTCGAGAGAGGGTATCAAGTGAGGAGGAGCGCGCTAAGGCAAAGCACCTGGTAAGTATTAAAAACTGAATGGAAATATCCGGTTTACAAGGAAATCACGGATGTTTGGGAACAGCTAAGTGCTCCATGCCAACAATTAGTGTTGATAAAATTCATGTTCTTTTTGCTTAGGTTTCCTTGATTTTTGCTTTTTTCAAATAGTTGACAGTTTGCTGCAAATAACCACGATGGACTTGTTAAGGCAGGTAACTTCAGAATTAGTGCAATAAAGGTCAGTACGGAGAGTAGGTACAGGCATCTTGCCTGAAGGGATAGTGTGCGTATATGTGTGCATGTGTCCCTCCTTCCTCTCCTTTGATTTCATTGTGTTTGAAAACTCTGGGCCAGCACCCTGGCTTGTTTCTGTGCTAACATCAGACGTTAGTCCAGGAAGTCTCCAGCAAAGGTCAGTCAGGTTGGAGCAGTCACTCTCTAGGACATCGAAAGGGGAAAACAGAGCAAGGGCTTTGGGAAACCATCTTTTTTTTTTTTTTTAAAGATTTTATTATTTTTAGAGAGAGGGAAAAGGAGGGACAGCGAGGGAAAGGGAGGGAGAAACAGAGGGTAAGAAACACTGATGTGAGAGAGAAACATCAGTCAGTTGCCTCTTGTATGCACCCCGACCAGGGACTGAACTTGCAACCCAGGCATGGTCCCTGACCAGGAATGGAACCGATGACCTTTCGCTTTGCAGGATGACACTCCAACCTATTGAGCTACACTCATCAAAGTGGGGGAACCATTTTTTTTTTTAAAAGAAAATAAATAATTAAAACTTTTTTCATTTTAAAGAAAGATTACATAGTCATGTCTAAAAATGATTATTAATAGAAGAAAATTTAAATGGCCCCATCAATCTGTTTTTCTCACACAACCACTGTTTACATTGTGGTGTGTTTCCTCTAGAGTGTTTTTATTCCTAGATCTAGTACATATTTAAGAACGTGAAAAATGCTGTATATATAGTGTTGAGCATCAGGAAAATTTCCTTATATAACGAAATGTTCTTCTGGAATGTATTTTTTAATGGCTACAAATACTCTGTCTTCTCTGTGCAGTGTAATTTATTAAATGATATCCTGTTGTCAGATAAAGTGGACTGCTCTGGATGAAGCCTGAGGTCCTGCCTGCTCACGTGCCTCTTCAGTCTTCCTAGGAGCCCATGTGTAACTTCTCAGAACCATTAGTGTGCATTGGAGAGTAGTTGGGAACCCACTGGGGAGGTAAAATGTGATTATACACTAGAGAATTGTGAACGCAACATTGAGAGAGATGTCCTTAGTTTAGCAGGCGATTGGGAATTGTTAAAAATTTTAAGAAGAAGGTCAGTTTCTTTTCTCTCCTGTTCTTTCTCTTGGTCCATTGTTTGAGAGACTAACCTATGACTGTACCAATAGAAAAAAAAAATGAAAGGAAGTTAATGTGTAATGAATCCATTACTTTGGTGAGTCATCCAGGATCCAGGCTGAATAAGGAAACAGTGAAGCCAGAATAGAGGTGAGGGATTAAGAAATGTCAAGGGACTGGCTGGTAGCCATTGTGAAGGGCGGCACATATTGAGTGGGACTGAAGCCAAGAGATGCGGAGGGATGGCCACTTGTCATGAAAGGGGGATAATTTCAGAATTAAAAACAATGGCGTTGAATAATTCAATCTTGATGCTATCTGCTCTACTCTGAGGGTCATTTTCCCTAATGTCACAGCCTCCCAGTTGGAAGGCCAGGGGTGGCGGGGAGAGGGGCAGTAGTGCTTATGTTTAAGGAAGGTGGGGGATCAGGCTTCTTAGTTTCTGGTGGATAGAAGGATCCTTGGTTGGCATTTTTCTTTGTGCCCTGGCTTTTGCCTTTTATCTTTGAATTGCTTTTTTCTCTACTAGGATTACATCTGATTCAGAGAGTCACACATTTGGGCGATAGTTGTGGCCACAGGAACATGACTGTCTACGATAATATAGATACCTCGTGACTCCCAACGTACTTACCAACTACCCCCTTTGTTGTTGTTATTCAGTACTGCAGAAGGCACGCGTATTCAGTGGGCCAAGATCAGAACACACACACACAAATACACTAAGGCACTTGAATTACCACTCTCCAGAGGTAGTTACTGTTAAGTTTTTGGTCTATTGTTTTTCTATTCCTTTTCACACCCCACTAGGGCTATAAAAAAACATTTGTTTTCATATGGGTATATGTGTATTCCCAAAGATGATAAAAATAAACATAGTCTTCTATAACTCTTGCAGTAACCTTCACCTTTAAAAAATTTAGACTATATGATAAAGGCCTTTCTATACTAGTAAGTATGTATTTGTATGATCATTTTTAATGGTAGAATATATTTCACTGGATTTTTCTCTAATTACTAAAATAATACAGGGATACTGTAGAAAACTTGGAAAATATAAAAATCACTAAAGAACCACCTCGTGTCCCTCAGGATGGCTGCTGTCGAAAGACAGACAATAACAAGATAGACACCGCTGTTGTGGGAAGGTAAACTGGCACGGCCACGGTGGAAAACAGTATGGCAGCTCCTCAGCACCCTGAAAGTAGAGTTATCATATGATTCAGTGATCCTGCTTCTGGGTATTTAACCAAAGGAATTGAAAGGTCTCAAGGAGATATTTATTTGTATGCCCATGTTCATGGCAGCACTGTTCACAATCACCAAAAAGTGGAAGCAGCCCAAGTGTGCAACAGATGAATGGACAAACAAAAATGTAGGCAATGGAATGTTATTTAGCCTTAAAAAGGAAGGAAATTCTGACACATCATTCAAGGTAGCTGAACCTCGAGGACATTATGCTAAGAGAAACAAGTCAATCGCAAAAAGACAAACGCTGGATGGCCCCACCTACGCTCATTTCCCCCGCATGGTGAGATTTATAGAGACAGTAATTGAAAGTGTGGTTGCCAGGAGCTGGGGAGGAAGGCGGAAGGGAGAGCTTTGGAATGGGTATGGAGTTCAGGTTTGCAACGTGAAGAAGATTCTGGAGATTGGCTGCACAGCAATATGAATGTCCTTTATATTCTTGAACTGTATACTTCTAAGTGGTTAAGATGGTACGTTTTATGTGTATTTTACCACGATTAACAGTTAGAAGAAATTGCTAAGAAATTAAGCAATATTGCACATATAATTAATGTTTAGGGTATATAAAGTTGGTTTTGGCCTTCCCCCCCATGCATCCCATCCAGGTTTTCAGAATCTGTATCCCTCCGCCTTGAAAAATGCGTGGCGTGGAACTTCAAGCCTACCATTGTCCCTGACTTTCTTGATGCCAAGCTGCGGAAGCAGGCATCTTGGGAACCCATGATTCATGTGAGAGTCACCCCAGGAACATTAGCATTGATCTGCTGTGAGTGCTGGGTCCCCATTCTTGTCATTCTTAACCCTAGAATGTGACACTCTTGAGGGATGGCCAAGCACTGATTTGTTCCTCTTTATTTAGAACCCAAATGTTGCAGCCTGTACGAAAGTAAAGGTTAGGTTTCACGCATTTGAAGGCATTGGAGAGCTGTCTTTCGGGGGAGCTAGGGAAAAAACCCCAAAACTGATGTGATGCTCATTCTGTGGAATAAAACTAACTCCTCCCTCCCTCTCGTCTTCCTCCATCTACTAACAGTTGACATTTAGATTGCTGTCTCCTTTTGATGTGAGTCCAGGCTTTCTTCCCACAGTTGTACCAGCAAGCTTTCTTATAGCTCTTTGAAGGGCAGAGTCACAGTGGTTGAAGTTTTAAAATAGGATCAGATCAAAACTTTCCCCTTTGGAAGAATTGCTGTAGCTGGAGAAGCTGTAAGCCCTGCTCTAGATTCAAGAAGAGCATACCAGCCCCTCAGTCTACTGCTCGGTGACTGGTACCAGTATTTTAATCACCTGATTTTACCCAGAGGTTTTAGGGGAGGCAGTTCAGTGATAATTTTACGCACATGAAATATTAATTAAAATTCACATTAAAGCTCTGCTTCTTAAGAAGCTGGAAAGCACCTTTGTAAAGAATGAAGACCAAATAAGAGGAGACCTGCGCAGTTAATGCAACTTGGCATTTTGTGTATCTTTTAAGATCTTGAACATATAAATTAATATTTGCTGTGTCATTCGGGTTTTTTTTTAAATCAAAGAGCAAGGAGTTGTGTTCTTTTGACTTTGCAATTATATTTGATTTCTTTTTTAAAATGTCAATTAAAGTTTGATTGACTCTTTTTTTCTCTTATTAGGCTGTTTCGCCATTAGTTGTTTCTTGTTAAATTTACACTTGACAAAAAGCCCCACTTTATTTCCTTAACAAAACAGTTGTGAAATGTTCTAGCGTTTATAAACTTAAATGTGAAATACTTTTCTTTACTCTTTGGACAGATGTTTTACTGAGTGCTTACTGTATGCTAGATACTGAAGACATATAAATGAAAAAGACAAAATCCTGTCCTTTATTAAAGAATTCACACTATAATGTGGGAGACAGATATATTTCAAATAATGTTAAAAAGTGTTAAGTCTGTTATAGAGCCATGCAACTTACATTTTTGTGAGAATTCTCACTTTCGTGAAAGCAGGGACTTTTTTTAACTCATTGCTACATCTTCATTTATTCAGTGAACACCCATTTGAGTGCCTAGTTATTTGCCAGTGCCTACCAAAGAGTAAACAGTCAGTAACTGCTTGTTGATTAAATAAATGAAGAATTGAACCTACTCAGGCCCTGGAAATGGGAGGAGAGGAATTGGGGAAGAATAGAAAAGATCTCCGAGGGAGTGGTGCCTGAGCCGAGTGCTGATGTATGGAACTGTACCTATGGGTGAGGAGTGCGGGCAGTCCGTCCTCTGATATTGCAGGCAAGAGCATGGAAGCCTGGGGACAGTGGCACAGGACAGGGGCAGCTGAGTGGGACGTACGGTGCAGGGAGTGTTGAGGGGTGAGGCGGAAGAAGTTGGCACGACTAAGGGCGTGAGTTCCACAGAACCCTGGACTGTGTTCATCCAGAGGTTTCAAGGGGAGAAATGAAGTGG